CTGTACCGGTGTACATCCTCTGGTCTAGCCAGACTTGCAAGGTAGAATTGGGATCATGATATGTGGGCGGGGTGTGGGGAGGGAAGCATTTAGGAACTAGAGGAAAGTTGTATTTTTCATCGTTGCTATATCGCACCCTGACTGGCTTGTCTCCTCCCCAAGACCCTTCTGTAAGGGGATGCTGGAACAGATTCTTACTGTGATGAATCAGTACCAGAGATCCAAGAGCAGGATTCCATGCAGGCAACCACACAACAAGCCCAGCTGGTGGCAGTAGCTCAAATTGAGGAACCAATCAGTAAAGCAAAGACACTCAAGGCTATCTCCAAACTGGATCTTGGGGAAGTTACAGGGGTTACGAGAGGCACTATCCAAAAATCCTAAGATTACCCTCTTTGTCATCACAAAGTCAGATGTCTACAAGAATGCTGCTTCAGAAACCCACATAGCTTTGGGGAAAAGCCAGAACAAGGATTTATCTGAGCAAGCACAGCTAGCAGCTGCTGAGAAATTCGAAGTTCAAGGTGAAGCTGTCTCAAGCATTCAAGACACCACCAGCCTCCAACTATACAAGAAGAGAGTGACGAAGAGGTTGATAAGACAGGTGTGGAAGTTAAGGACGTGGACTTGGTCATCTCACAAGCAAACTTCAGGAGAGCAAAGGCGGTCCTGAAGAGCGGCAGCAATGGTATCCTAAACGTTATTAGGAAATTAGCAATGTAACCATATGAAAATGCTATTTGTTTTCCTTTGGTGTTTCAAAAAGTAACTACAGATTGGTGTAAAATTTTACCTGTTTCTATCGTTAACTAAGTTACAGCCTCTGGTTAGATGAAGCAAAACAAACTGAGAAAAATCGAATTTTTCCATCAACTGAGAACAAATAAAAGAGGAAATTTTCCTTTCATTTTAAAATAAATCATTTTATTGGGGGCTCCTACAGCTCTTAAAACAATCCATTGTGTCAAGCATATTTGTATAACTGTATCCAGCACATTTGTACATATGTCGCCATCATCTTCAAAATATTTTCTTTCTACTTGAGCCCTTGGTATCAGCTCATTTTTCCCTCCCTCTCCCACCCTCCTACCCTCATAAACTCTTGATAAATTATAAATTATTTTCATGTCTTAAACCAACTGCTGTCCCCCTTCACCCACATTTCTGTTTGTCCCCCTGCGTGGCAGGTTATACGACAATCATTGAGATCAGTTCCCCGTTTCTCCCCTTCTTCCCCCCACCTTCACTCTACCCTCATGATGTCCCGTTTTTCTGTCCTGGATCCCGTGTGTCAAGAGCTCTTATCTGTAGCAGTCTACCAGCTCTGGTCTAGCCGGGTTTGTAAAGTAGAACTGGGGTCATGATAGTGGGGGGAGAGGAAGCATCAAAGAACTAGAGGAATGTAGTATGTTTCGTTGGTATTTCACTGCGACCTGACTGGCTCGTCACTTCCTGGTGACCCTTCTGTGAGGGGATAGCCAATTGCCTACAGATGGGCTTTGGGTTTCCACTCCGACCCCCCATCATTCACATCAGTAGTTTGTTTGGGTTCTTCTGATGCCTGATAGCTGATCCCGTCGACACCTCATGATCACACAAGTGGTGTGCTTCTTCCATGTGAGCTTCATTGCTTCTCAGCTAGATGACTGCTTGTTTATCTTCAAGCCTTTAAGACCCCAGATACTATATATTTTGATAGTGCATTCTTCTGGGGAGGGGTTCCAGGTAGCTGCGATTGGGGCCAGACCTCATTTCCTCTCTGTTCACTCCTTCTTGCTGGTATGTTCCCCTCAAGGCTTGGCACCCCAGGTTGAGATCTGGTCCCTCTCTCCCTTTCCTGTGGAGATATACACTATACCCTCCCCATGTGTGGGTTCGTGCCCTGTTCCCCCACTATCCACATCCACAGAGGAAGTTTTCATGGCCTTCCCTTCTTAGAGATTTTTCATCAGCTACCCTGCCTACTGGCCTATCTAGAACCACTTAGCCCTCTAACACCATTGCTTATACAAGCAGAACTATGTCAGAAACACAACTCAGAAATAGAAAACTCAACCCAAGCTCTTAATGGAGAATCTCAGCCTTTAAATTTCTCCTTCCTCAGTAGCTTAGAACAGCTACTGAGGAATAAAGCAGACATTATTAAATCTTTTTTGCCCTACATAATATTAGGCCCCCTGAGCAGAACAATATCATTCATATCACATGCAAGTTAAATTTTGCTGAAGATAATCCACACAATTGCAGCAATACATTGAGAGCTGCCAGAGGTTTAATCAAAATTTATACAAGGACTTGAAACAAGGGATATCATTGTTGATGTCAGATGGATATTGGCTGAAAGCAGAGAGAACCAGGAAGATGTGTACTATTTTATTGACAGTGCCAACACATTCAATTGTATGGATTATAAACTATAATAGCTTTGAGGAAAATGGAAATTCCAGAACACTTCACTGTGCTTATTCAGAACTTAAGCATTAGAATCAAGAGGCAGGTGTGCGAACAAAACAAGGGAATACTGCCTGGTTTGGAATCAAAAAAAGTGTGTGGCAGGGTTGTAGTCTCTCACCACACCTGTTCAATCTGTATCCTGAACAAATAACCAGAGAGGCTGGATTATATGAAGAATAATGTAACTTTGAAGTTGTCTTGCTTGCATCCAGAATCAATGATCATGGAAGCAGCAGTCAAGAGATCAAAAGATCTCTTGCATTGGATAAATCTGCTTCCCAAGACCTCTTTAGAGCATTGAAAAGTGGGAAAGTTATTCTGAGAACTGTGGTGCTCCTGACCCAAGCCATGGTATTTTCAATTACCTCATGTGCATGTGGAAGTTAAACACTGAATGAATAAAGGCCAGACAAGAATTGATGAGTTTGAATTGTGGTGCTGGATAATAATACTGAAAGTACGTTGGACTGTCAAAATATCAAACAAATCTGCCTTGGAAGAAGTATGGCCAGAGTGTTCCTTACAGACAAGGATGGCAAGACTTTGTCTTACATACTTCAGCCATACTGTCCGTAGAGAGAAGGACATCATTCTTGGTAAAGTAGAGGGACAATGAAGAAAAGGGTAGCCCTCAACGAGATGGGCTGTGAGTCAGAACTAACTAGATGGCACCTAACAACAAAATGAGCCAGACTCCACTTACTGGCACTGAGTTTGGGTGAATTTAAACAACAATAACCTAGCTTCTCCACCCATAAAATGAGCACAAGAATAAAACCTGCCTCGATGGTTTTTTGTGTGAAGGTTAAATGAATTAAAACAGAGTTTACATAAGAGGATTAGATAGTGTTCCCTTCTGTGTACACGAGCTGTCTCTGGGTTGGAGCTGACTCAGTAGAACCTAAATAATACCAGGTGTACTCAGCATCTCGCGTTCTCATTTGCCCAGCAGGTTGTGAGTTCCATAGAGTACCTGTAATCAACATTTGTAATGTACCCATATCGTAATGAAATTCGGATTTTGTTATGTGATTTATGTTCTTATTTTCAAACAGCAATTAGAAGCCATTCACCTGCCAAACCTGTTTTGATATTTGTCTCATCAAGACGTCAAACTCGTCTGACTGCTCTAGAATTGATAGCCTTTCTGGCTACTGAAGAAGATCCAAAACAGTGGTTGAATATGGATGAAATAGAGGTAAGCAGCATATTTTACCTCCACTTCTCATATATGTCAGGTATGCTGTTATAATGGAAATTACATACTTACCTATATTTAGTTTTAATTAATACTAAAAATACAGGATAACATTATGGACATTTGGAAATATACAAAGAGGATCTCTGCATTGTAGCAAGGTTAGAGAAAATTCACTGGAGCCTTAATCCACGTGTTTTTCCCCTTTACTTTTTTCTTTTTAACGGAAGCCACTTTTAAGTAGGTCAGAAGGGAGATCAAATGTTAAGATACTACATTTTAACATAACTATGTCTGACATAATCAACTTTGCAGTGTTCTCTGTCTGTTAACATGGCTTGGCTGATAACATCCCTCGGCTGTGGTCAGAGAGATTTCACTGAAGGCTTAATGTAAATGTGGACCTTGCAGATGGATTTTGGGCTTCAGCAATGCTATGAACTGCAATGCTGTCATGCATAGCCTTCTGCAAACCAAGTGTTCACCATTTAAGCTCTGATGGCATTCCCCCCTTTGGATTTGGATTTTATTATTTAGAATCTTTAGATCACTCAGGTTGGTGTACTTCTTCCATGTGGACTTAGTTGAAACCTCACTTAGATTGCTGCTTGTTAAAGATAAGCCTATAAGACCCAAGGCATCCGACTTTCTGAGCTGGCATCATCTAGTTTCTTCGCTACACTTTGCTTTACCGTCCATATCTTCAGCGATCTCTTCATGAGGGTGAGCACCAAGCAGAGCCTTGCCATAAGAACTAATTGTTCCTAGATTAGGGTTACAGTTATGTGCAAGCCCTAAGTCCATTCATATATCTGTGATTTATATGTGTCTCTGGTTCCCCATAGAGACTGGTTTACCTTAGGGACATCATTTTATGCTATGTTATCTATCATTTCCCTGGGACATAAGGTAATTCCATTGGTAGTGTCACTAATTTAGCCAATGGTATAGAATTTAAAACACAGTTGAACAAAGGAAATTATACAATCTATAGGCCAGCTTCAGACTGTAATGCATGGATTGTTGAATTTTAGATTAAGCCCTTAGTGAGTGGACACCATTTAAACAATGAGGATTGGTGATAGGACAAAACTTTCAATAATATTTACTGATAGTGACAGAATCACACTTACCAGATTAATACATGTCACAATAAAGCAAGGAGGGAATTAATATAGTAAGTATATGGTAGCCCCAGCCCACCATTCATTGGACCTCAAGGAAAGAGATCCAAACCAAAGTCTAATGACTGCCAGTTCTGTACCCTTGGAATAGCAGTCATCTGCTTCTTTTCATACTGGGCAGTTTGCACCTTAAGTTGAAGGACTACAGGTGAGTTTGAGATAAAGCCCAGTTCCCTTAGTGGGGTTTCCACATCAAGTCCTTCTGCTGTGGCTTTTGAAGTGTGGTGTGTGCATTTAAAAGAACAGAGTCTAAAGTCCCAGTAATCCATAGAACAGGGCCTCAATCGCCAAAGTCTAGATAGAAACCAGGTCAAAGTAATCATTTGGGAACATAGTACCAGGCATATTCTTCCCTTGGGTTCTACATAAGTATTGTTAAGCGTTTTTTCCCGAAGGGAAGTTACTCCATCCTGTTTTCCTATCACAGAAATGTGCTCGCCCTTTCGGAGGCATGCATGCTCCCCTCCCCTCATCTTGACTTGAATTTCCAGAAAGGTCCTCCTATCTCCCCTTTTCCAATGTGATTTATATGTGTATTCCAAATCCCTCCTCAGAGTGACGCTTTTTTGTTCAAAACATTTGATAATCTTGTCAAAGTAGGTTTTCCTTACATGATGTAATTGGTATGTCTGTTATAAAGCCAAACTAGTATCTTCACTTAGCTGTCAAATACTGCGAAACATATCTGTGGGATATTGACAGTGTATTTTATGTGCAGCATCTATTTAGCCTTCTTATTTTCTCGTGTCTTATTCTTAAAAGTGTTCCAAATGAAGGCTTCTCTTTGAAGTCAAGGTACAAAGTACATATCTGTTGAACACATATTTGGATATTTGCTGAAAGTGCATGGAGACTGTACATTTAGCACATGTGTGACTCAGATTAACATCAAATGTGAACCGCATGTGCTCTTCCCAGCTGTAGTACAACCCTATCTTGGGGGTTTTTTTGGGGTTTTTGTTTGTTTGTTTGTTTGTTTTCCATTTTAGCCTATCAGACCTGGGGACTATAGATAATTCAGCTGTTTTATAAAATTACTTCTCTATTATGTAATTTTCTATCACTACCAAACGTCATTGGAAACTATGGAATTTACTTGCATGATTTCTGCTATTTTTAGGGACTTTAATTCTTAAAACTGAAAAACTGGAAATCAGGTCATTTACAGGTATTTAGTTATACCAATCATGTCTCAAGAATAAGAGAACTGAGGCTTTATTTTATAACTGTCTCAGAAATCAGTATTGCAATTGATTACTATATAAATTCTATCTGAATTTGTCAAAACTTACCAAGTAAGTATTTCCATTTTTGAACTCCTAGATAATTAACTTCAAATAGCCTTTTTCACATTTTTATTTTTACATGGTTATATTCCAAAATGTTGGAATATAGTTCAGTGACTATGCCTGTTGCATAGTATCAAATTTTTATTTTGTGTTAGGACAGCAGTGCACTGGTGTGAACTCCGGTGTTGACAACCTGAGCATGTGAAGGAGGAAAGTGGGCACAGTAAGAGTGACCGTGGTAGCTGTGGAAGAGGGTGCAGTGTCATATGGCGCAGCATCTAAATGCTTCTCAGATTGAATGCTCTTGAGATCTGTCTGTGGATATGGAGCGAAAGGAAGGGGTGAGGGGAGTAAAGGCAAAGTAGAAGAACATGACAAGAACAGAGAGATGTGCTCTGTTTTATACTTTGGCCCTTTGCCAAAATCAAATTGAATTATCAATTTATCTTCTTAACCAAATATAATCAAAAGTAAAATACACAGAATAGAAAGATACCTTCAAGAGTATTACTGATACGAATTCAGGAAATTCCCAAAGTAATTCCCTTTAATATTCATAATTAAGCACATTCTTTGACTTTGAAAGTTCTTGGGCAGATGCTGCCATAGCAGTGGGCTCTCTATTCCACATTTCTCCGATAATCTCAAAATATCATTGAGTCTTTGGCTCTTTCTCTCAAATTTTAAGTTCAAGACAGAAACATGAGAGGGCCAGAGCTTGACTCTCCATAAGGAAGCAGACAAAGGGAATATTTTCACCCATTGGCTTCTGTAGTTTTTTTCTCTCCCCGAATTCATTCAGACCCCATTCTCCACATACCTTCTCATTAAATAAAAAAAGAAAGAAAAAAATTATTTTCACAAAACAACTCTCCTTCAAATTCACACATTCCATCCCAAATGGGAGAGAACCTAACATCTCATCATTGACTTCATCCTGCACTAAGAAATCTTGATCTCTATTATATTGATTTATTCTCTTTGATTCTTTTGAAATCCCATCTCAGTATTTCCTATCCAGCTGACAAAATTATAAAGTTTCTGTCCACCTACTCATGCAATATTCAGTAGTGGAGATCACAAGGGAAAACAAGAAAAAGAGGCTGCAAGGAAGATAGGGGCCACAATATTTGATTCTGCACTTGACCATTGGGCCCAACAGCTACTTTTTATTACATACGTTTCCCTACTCTCTGTTGTCTGTACTATTTTTTCTTTAATCAACACCTAATATAATCCATCAGAGCCATCTACTACATTCCGAGGAATTAAAAGTTGGATTTTAGCTTATGCTTAATATATGTTATTTTTATTGGTGACCAGAGAGTCAACTGCAACTAGTACAACAGAGCAAACATTACCTGGTCCTGTGCCATCTTCACGATCATTGGCATACTCAAGTTCATTCTTGTGGCCACTTTTTTTGTTGTTGTTTTGGAGTGCCTTCCAACCCTATGGACTGACCTTCCAGTACTATCTCCCACCGTATTCTATGGTGACTCAGAGTTTTCATTGGCTAATTTTCGTAAGTAGGTCACCAGATCTAAATCGATCTTAATCTGGAAAGTCTGATGAAACCTGTCCACCGTGCGTGACCCTGTAACATTATTTGAAAGACCAGCACCATAAAGTCCATGCAAATGATCACAAAACAACAAACTGGTAGGTGGGTAGTGGGCTTAATATATATCAAAGCAAACACCTTCAAGGATTTCACTGGCGTCCATATGAGTTTCCCCAAGCTGTTATTGTGTAGCAGTGCTTCAGTTTATTCAGGATAAGACATCCCAAGCTACATGCTTGACCACATTTTGCTTGTTCCCACTTTACATGTGCTATGAGTGCCTCACATGACCACATGGCTGTTTCTGCTTCTGGGTAAATTGTCATATCCCTTGGATATTAAAGCCTCCAAACCAGCAGAGGTAAAGTAACAGGAAAGGAAACAAAAAAATGTTCCCTGGTTACTGGTATTCCAACCGACTGCTCTTCCAGACAAAAGGGAGGTTAACTGCTCACGTGAAAATGTACAACCTCAGAAACCCTATAGAGGGTTGCACTGAGTCAGAATCTGTTGGATGCCATTGGGTTGGGGTAAGGTGGCTATTACAGAGAGCACAGACCCATCTTTCCTTCTTGGTTCCTAGACTGTATGTGTTGGCAAAGAGAGAAATGTAATCATCCACTGGTTCAAAGCTTAAACACCTTATGCTACAAGGTAACACCCCAGTCTTGCCAAGGTCTTTTGTCCCAGATGCCCCTCTCAGTCTTTAATAAGTCTTTTTTTTTTTTTCCTATGAGAGCAGCTATTTCTGGATGCGGAGACATGTAATAAGACCAGTACAACTCATGACATCAGCTCACTGTCTCCTTTTTCTCTAGAAATTGAGCTCCTTAGGAATAATATTATAAAAGATGTCATAAGAGTACTTAATTCATTCAATAATTCTCCCCCAGTTCTCCTGACAGAACCATGATGGGCCGAAAAAAGAGACTCCAAATCTAAGCATGTCTATTGTGTTGCAGATAAGTAGATTTTCACTCTCCGATAGAAGGCACTCAGTTTAATCTCCTTACAGCCAGGTAATTATCAGGATCTGTGGGTATTGCAGTTTATGATGAGTCCAGGTTATTTCCACTTGGTAACTACTAGGTACTGAGCAATGGCAGTAGCTGTCTGCCTTAAAAAGGAAAAGCCCTCACCTTTTCTACCTTGACCGTTTTGTAGATGTTGCCATTAAAACCGTCAGCAGGGACAGTCTGCCTGATAGCCTTTAAAAAGAAAAACACTTTCGTCAGGCTCATTCTGTTCTCTCACCGAGCAGCTGTTGGGCTTGCCTGTTGTCCTCGCATTGCTCAGTGCCAGGCTTGTCCAAGCTTCACCAGGGCTCCTGTGGAGAGAGCCTCAGAACTAGTCGTTTGTTCCCTCAACCAGTCACAGCAGTATCTGCAGTGTGTTCTTACTGGTAAGCATCCTCCAGGGATTCACCTGGTCTTTTATTCTGGGACCATTCTAGAAGTTCATCCACAAAAAAGCTTGCCCTGCCTTCCTTCTGTCTTTTAATAATATCCGTGCCATACTCCTATCATCTGTTCAATTAAGAATCTACAGAACAAAGTGGCTCATTCACTTATATAGTCGCGGTCTGGGAGTAAAATGTTAGATACTTGAGACTCTACTTTTATTCTTTACCCAGAAAGCAATACGATGGGACTGCCATATTATTAAAGCAGTACCCCGTTCATGTTCAACAGCGTTGGTTGCTCTGTCACATGAATATCAAGGATTCAGGTTTTTATTTTGTTTGGTTTTTTAAAGTCATAATCCTCTACCTCAATAGGCAACCCTTGCTAAAATGTGTATTCATTCATATGACAGACATGTTTTTATTAAGTGCCCACTACTTCCAAGCATTGTGCTAGGCAACTGATCACAGTTGTCAAAGAATCTTAAGTATCGAAGACAGACTAACAATAATCAATAAAATATTACAAATTATAAGTTGCTGTGAAGGAAATAAAAAAGAAGTGATATCAAATAAGAGAATGGGAGTTTACTTGATAGTAGAATAATAAGGTAAGAGCTCCGTACGGAACTGACATTCAAGCTGAGTTCCAAAGAATGAAGAACGTACCCAGCTATGCTGAGAGAAGCCACCAGTATTTCAGATCAAGGAACAGTGTGTCAAAGGAACTGAGGGATCCCGTTGGGAAGGAGCAGAGTGAGCTAGGAGAAGCGTAGTGCATAGTGCAAGGCCTTTTTCTATGTCTTTCTATGTATAAGATACTTTTCTAAGAAGCAGAAGGTCACAGTCATGAATAAAATAAAGTTCTTGCCCTTGGGGAATCAACATTCTAGTGAGGGGGATAGACAATAGAGACATAAATAAATTTTTATGGGGAAAACGTAATCAGGGTAAAGAGAAAAGTAATCATCGGACAGTGTAAGATCTGACAAAATAATAATTTATAAATTATCACGGGTTGATGGGAGGGGGTGAGAATGGGCTGATACCAAAGGCTCAAGTAGAAAGCACATGTCTTGAGAATGATGCTGGCAACAAATGTACAAATGTGCTTGACACAATGCATGGATATATGGATTGTGTTGAGTTGTACAAGCCCCCAATAAAATGATTTTTTTAAAAGAGAGAGAAGTAAACAAGGTGGCACATTAATATGAATTAAGAAAGCCTCTCTAATGAGGTAGGTGGTCTTTGAGCAAAAACCTGAAGGAAGCAAGTCACAAACATTGAGAGGAGGGGTGTCCAGGACAGCGACGGTTTTAAGCTAGACAAATTGCATGGCCCGATTCACATTTGAAGATCACTTTTGCCTGCTTAGTGGCAAATGGATTAAAGAGGAGTCAATTAGAATTGATGGTGGTGACCTTGGGGTTACCTATAGGAGGTGGCAGTGGAAATGAAGAGAGATGTTTTGGACTATAATCAGTAGGAATGGAAATTAAGAAGAGGAAAGGAATCAAGAGTGACTCTCCAATAGTAAATGACGTATCGGGATACATAATGGTGCCATTTGTTTCAATAGGGAAGGCTGACAGTGAAAAATGAAGGGAAGGAGACAGACTTGAGCTGTAAAAAGAACCCAAAGTTATCTGTTAGGCTATATGTTCACCACGTTCAAACGAAGATCTCAAGACAAGCGGATATGGAAGGAGTGTGACCGATGCGGAGTGTGTCAGAGAGGAGAACATATTAGTAGAATAGCAAATCAAAACTCTCTGCCATCTAGTTAGTTATGACCCTGGAGAGGGTTTCCAAAACTGTAGATCTTTATGGGAACAAGCAGCCCCATCTTTCCTCCTTGGAGTGGTTAGTGGGCTTGAACTGCTGACCTTTTGGTTAAACAGCCCAACATCTAACCTACAGTGCCACGAGGGCTCCATTAGTAGCACAGAAATAGCTGTCAAACCCAAGTGAACACCTAAGACCCTCGGGCCAAGAATGTGGAGAAACAAGATAGGTCTTGGGAGACTGCATTGTGACTATATTAATTATCTAGTACTGGTATAACAGAAAACTTACAAGAGATTATATTTTCTCACTGTTTAGGAGCTTAGAAGTCTGAGTTCAGGGCATTGGAACCAGGGGACATCTTTCTTATGTCTCTGCCAGCTCTAAAGGAAGATCCTTGTCTCTTCTGAGTTTTTGCTCCTGTGATTGTCATTTTCATGTAACTTGACATCTCTTCCCCTATCTCTATTCTGTTTCCCCCACACACACACATACTTGTTTAATCTCCTTTATACCTCAAAGGAGAATAATTTAAGCCACATCCTATACTAACTCTCTTATTAAGATTACAAAAATAATCCATTCCCTAATGAGATTTTAACCAGAAGCATAGATGTTAGGATGTATCAGCAACATTTGGGGAGAGCACAATTTACTTTTCCATTAACTTCCGTAGAGACGAAGAGCTGGCACATACCATGGACAGCTAACCCCGTAGAAGAGAGCTTCTCAAAGACAGGAATGCACATGCTAGTGGTAGGCCGAGGGGGACAGAGAAACACTCACCAGGTGTATGTCCCATAGAGGCCCTGGACAAATCGAACAAGCAATTCCAGTGGCATACGTCAACGGAAGCCATTTTGAAATGGGTCACATGGGGTGAGAGGATGAAATGGAAGCAACTAAGATACGCACCCCATCTAGAAGCGTGAGTGTGTGCTTGAGTAGTGTTATCATTCAGTGTGTAGCAAGTATGGTCTGTGAGCTCCCACCATATGTGCAGTGCGGCCCGGGTGCCTGAGTCAATGGTTCTAGGATCTGGATAGTTGCCAGGTGGCACTAAAAGGTAGAAAGCAGGGGGGAGGCTCTTCTGAGTGTTAGTGACTGACCAGTCACTATCTCATCACTCACACATTGAGTGAGATGTCACACCTATGGAGGGAGAGAAGACTTCTGAATGAAAATTAGACTTTGTTCTCTCCCTCAGTCCCCCCATGTATCTTGTCAGTTGCAGCAGAGTTACCACTCTCTTTCTCTACAATATTAAGTAAGTCCAACCCCCAAACCAAACTCCCTGCCCTTGAGTCCATTCCAACTCACAAGCTAGAAGAGAATTGCTATACACAGCTCTGAGACTGTGGCTGTGGACGGCCTCATCTTCCCACAAAAGAGCTAGTGGTGTTGAACCACCTTGCAGGTAGCCCATCATTTAACCCATTGCACCAGCAGGTAGCTAAAATAAAAGCGCCTCAAAAAGCCCCGGCCACTTTTGCCTAAGCAAATGGGATCAATTAGAATTCTGCAGGGCTTCTTGTCCTAAAGTTCTTAGACCACTGTGTTCTAAGGTGTGTTCTAAAAGCTACCTTGTTCCCAAAAGGTAGAGCTGCAACCGCATGTGGAATGGCTTTCTTACTAGAGGGCGCTATGGCAGAGATACCTGTGGAGGTAACAAGATGTTCAGAGGCTGACAGCGATGAGCAGGCAGAGTTAGGAAAGAAGGAATGGAAATGCAGGGAGGATGTGGGATAAGTGATAGGACATTGTGGGGATTGCAACCACTGACATGAAACAAAACGTGCTTGAATTATTGAATGGAAATTCTGTTTACTCTGAAAACATCCCACTGACAGTGAAAAGGTTTTTTTGTTTTTCTTTTTCTAAAAAAGAATTCTTTGGGATAGCAATATAGTATAGTTAAATCCCAACTATGCCTGGAAGGCTCATCTAAATTAAGCAACACTATTAAATTATTCCTTTGAATTTGCACTGTACTTCAAAGTGGTTCATGAAAAGTTAATATAGGTGTGCAGGTGAGAGTCT